CGCTCGATACTTCCTCACAATTTACCCCGAGACACCCTGGCCAGAGAGGCGCCCGAACTCAGGAACGGCGCTTTCACTCGAGACTGTCTCGCAATTCATTGAAGTCGGCGGAGGCCCAGCCACGACGACAAAGGCTCTTGCTCGATACCTCCTCACGATTATCTCTGAGAGCCCCTGGGCAAGAAGACCCCCGAACTCAGGAACGGTTTTTTCGCTCTAGACTTTCCCGTAATTCAGGCAAGTTGGTGGAGGCCCGGACACGGCGACAAAGGCTCACGTACGACATTTCTTTATAAATATTCCGGGAGCCCCTGGCCAGAGAGGCCCCCGAATTCAGGAACGGCGCTTTCGCTCGGGACCTCTTCGCACTTCAGTGAGTGGCCGACAAAGGAAGAGATTCCCCCTGAGAGGGGGTGCAATCGAAGACGAAGTGGGCGGGTATCGAGGTTTGGGTTATACGCAACGCAAGACACGCATGCAAATAAGAGCGAACACTCTTAAAATGATCGTTGAAATTGCTGTCGTCGTCCCACTCGCGACATGGCCCGCGACCCACATGCGAACTGCACGCGGCGCAACCGCGACCCACCCACGACCCACCCGAGAACCACCCGCGACCAACCCGCGACCCAACCGCGACCCAACCGCGACCCACCCGCGACCCACCCGCGATCCGCCCGCGACCCACCCGCGACCCACCCCGCGCCCACCTCCTCACTCTTATCCGCAACTGCGGGGTGCTACACATTTTGCCGAGGACATCTTCCGCGAAACGCCCATTTTGATGATCAGTCAAGAATAGTTACCCAACTCTGGAGGATACCTCTAGCGAAACACTTAGCTGTGTAAAGACGATGTTGCGAACAATTTATTTGTGTGAAGATGTCTCAAAGGAAATGTTTGAAAAAAGGTGTCCACCAACGTGGGGCGCCGTACGATCCCGAACGGTCTGTATGCTAATACTTTTTACAAATTCAGCCAGAACGTTCAGCTCGCTTCTCGTTCGTCGAAGACGCTTCCCGTCATCCGCCAACGCTTGATAATTTGCAACCCCAGACGGTATGTATGTTAATACTTTTGGGAAGGTTACCGATTCAGCCAGAACGTCCAGCTTGCCTCTCGTTCCTCGAAAACGCGCCCCGTCATCTACCACGTCTCGCTCTCTTTGCACCCCTACCGGTATGTATGTTATTTTTGAGGTATGCTACAGATTCAGCCAGAAAATCCAGTTCGCTTCTCGTTCTAACAAAACGCTTCTCATCATTTAAAAAAGACAAACGGCCCACGCCAGAGTCGTTTCCAATCATCAGCCAGCGAGGTCCGGGATGCAATCGGTAACCCTAGTTAGAGAAATTTGATCCAAATACAAACGGTCCACGCAAGAGGCGCTTTTTTTTGACAACGCAACCCCAACCTACGAGGTCTCGCGAGCCCTCACAAGGCCTGCCGACAGCGGGGCCTGCGCGCGTGTGCGTGCACGGACGCAACACACGAGGCGCCCACCCACTGGTGGGCAGCTTCGCACGTCAGCCATCGGCCCTCTGACCGTTGGACTGGTGACAAGCTAGAAAACGGCACTGAACGTGTTTCACACCAAAACAAAACTGTAGCTCAATAGCCCAAGCCACTAATTCAGGGGGCTCACGACGGGAGCCTCCCAATCATGCGACTCAGTCACATTTCTTCTTGCCCTTTGCCTTTGGCTTTGCCCTGAACGCCCGCTCCACGACAACAAGCGCACTCGGAGCGGGAGGCATAGCCGTCGTCGATCACTAGGCCTACTTTCTTCTGCCACTTCAACGCCTGCTTCAACATGCTATTGGACCCGATCAGCTTCCGATGACGATCTGCCGTCACAATCCAACGAACATTGCCCGCCTTCACCTCACCCATGCACTTAATCAAGAAGCAGCGCATGGCCTGGAGCGAGTTCTTCAGTAGAGCCACGGCGCTAGCAACTCCAGCAACTTCCTCGGCCCCCTGCACGGCCGCCACGTCGCCCACGTCCATGTCCGCCCCCGCGGGGTCGGCGTTCACCTTCAGCGCCACATGGAAGTGGTAGAGTACCGCATGCAGCGTCACGTCGGGATTCTTGCTCTGGGGGTGGCCGAGGTAGTCCGCTTCCTTCTCATCCGCCTTGGCCTGCGCTGCCTTTCCCTCCGCGTCGTACGGCTTGATGGAACGGTCGTAGCCCAGCTCCAGCATGCACTTGTTCTCCATATCCATCAATACTTTGTTGTCCCTGGAGCACGAGCGGTGGGTGTCCTCGTGCTGCAATATCAGCTTGGCCATCTCCTTCGGCGGCCGTCGCTCGTTACTGCTCAGATTGAAGACGGCGGCCGCTGATGAGGGTCTGACTTGGGGCTTATCAGCTAGGGCATGGTCACAAAGAACATGAAGGTCGCTGAGTTGGCCACTCGTAATTCTGAGACTGCTCAAGCTCCCACGCTGCGCTCGATGACTATCTTTGATATCAGTACGTAGTGCGATCTTTTTGGATACTGCATTGGCCACTCCGTCCACGAGATGGCGAGATGATCGGGTAGAGGTCGTAATGATGTAGCATTCGCTCATACACTGTTGCCCGACGGATAGCTGACCGAAAAGCTCCGTTGGAGAACTGTCTGCCATTGTTGGATCAATATCCCACAGCTCGTCAATGAGTCTGTCCTGGTACTGAGGCACACTGCTGGTCAGCGGCGTGATGGGTCCACCATTGCCTCCAGCCTCCGCCTCAGCCTCGGACCACTTCTGCCAGATCTTTGCAACGCCAGCAAATAGGGGGTGGTCCCGAGCCTCCACATGTTGGGGCGGAGCACGCTTAGGAACGAGTCGACCCACTCGGACGGATTCCTCCAATATCCTTTGGTCACGAGCTGGTCCCAATGCCACCAGAGTATCACTGGTAGCTGTAGCGAAGCCCTGATCTCCAGTACGCATGGACGTCGCAATGTAGACGATTATGAACACACCCTGGCCGTCTGGATTGCGCCCCGTTGTGCTACGACCACTGGCACTGCCAATGGTGCCCCGTAGGGCAAGTACGTCCCCCTGTGCAGCAGCAGAGTGTCGAAGAACTTTGTCCCGTTGGTCAGGCATCAGCATAGTCTCGACTTTGTTTGACCATACCTTGATGAAGCCACGCCGTGATGAGCGGGAATGGGAAGGAAGAAAAGATGGGACGCATACAGCACCGTTGAGTGCCGCCATTCTGCATAGCTTCGCCACTGCGTCCTGGCCCTCGTAGAGGTCGCCCTTATACCACTCTCGACCTCTGGCGGGAATGGTGCGGCAGGCTCGGTGGTAACACCACATGCTGTGCACTGGCTCGTCTCTGTCGGTCATTGACGGCAACCTCTCGAGACTCCAAGACGGTCGTGCCGCCGTCCAGCGCTCGGCCCTCCAGCGCGTAGTATTCAGCTCAGCGACGGCTCGCGATAAGAGGCAAAGGACGAAACATCGTGACGATGCCATCGCACTTGCATGCTGTGCGGGGGTTTGCGACCCCGCTGGCAAATCTGTGTCGCTCGACATCGCTCGAGCCAGGGCCTCCAAGAGGCGCTTCCCGTCATCCGCCAGCGAGGTTCCGAATGCAACCCGCGCCCCCGAGTGACGAAAAAGAAAGGAAATTCAGCCATCAGAAATTTTTTTTCTACGCCAGAGGGGCTTCCCGCCATCCGCCACCGTGCCCCCTGGAACGCCGAGGCGTGGCAGAATGCCAAGCTTTTTGTGGCACATGATTCTTTGAGATTTAGGCCCACCCCCCCGTTCTCGTCACGGAGTTTCGCGTGCTTCTCCTCACTCTCCCGAGGCTCTGCAAGGCTCTCCAGCGATTCCAAGACGGCCCAGGAAGGCCACCAAGTTCGCCAAACGTTGCCCAAGATGCATGTAAGACGGCCCAGGATAACGTCAAGACGTGACAGGGTGGCCTCAAGAGAGCCCATGAGTCTCCCAGAATGGCTCAAGAGGGCTTCGAGAAGACTCCCAGGAAGGCCCGAAGAGGCCAAAATCACTGATTGTCATAACTTTCTGCTTGATTGATCTTCGCGTTCTCACCTTTTCGGGCTCCCGTCAGCCCGAGACAGACCAAGAGGCATCCAAGATAGCTCCGAGGCGGCCACAGAGGCCCCCACGAAGGCCCGAGGGGACGGCCACGGGACCTGGAGGCTCCGGACGGTACCAATACGGCCCAGAGCAGGAAGCCCCACAGAGGCAGGAGGACGACGATGAACACGGAGAGACACCCCCGGACACGCAGCGGAAGAGCGTGTCACACTATATGGCTCTCCCAAGACTGGGAACGCGAGGAGTAACACCTGACGGGTCTCTGCGCGCTCCTCGAATAATCGCCACCCAGGGTGTTGGGCTAGCAGGGTGACGGGACTTGCCGCAGGCAACTGAATGACAGACTGGCTAGCCAATGAACCACGCATATACATACCGACCTACATACCGACGTACCTAATTGACCAGCTAACCAACTAAACGAACGGCTTGTTACCGAGCATGCACACAAACTAAGACAACAGCCCTTCAACAGGCGCGACAACCGACCAGTATGTTTGAGCATTGACGTGGCCAACGATTTGCAAAATCAACGCAACTCTGAATTTCACAATCACGGCTACATCATTCAGCAGGAAAAGCATGACGAATCCGACGAACTACGTCACTATCAACTTGTAAAGCTATGCTCTGGCCGCCAACCAACGAAAGATCGGAACAAGTAAGTGAGATACTAGCAAGCCAAATGTCCAGACAACCAGCCGAACAACCAGCTAAGCACCCCATCATATGTATCAAAAAACAAGAAACAAGCACCAACCGACTGATTGAACATATTACCAACTGACGTGCCTGATCAATCTAGTGGCTGGCTGGTCTGCCAGGCTGCTGGCAACCTGACTGGCTGACTGACTGGCCATCCGACTTACTACAGGGAGCTACTATGTGTGCTGCAGATCGCAACTTGGTGCCCAGCAGTGTGGACTTGCTACTGCCTAACATGAGGAATCGCTTCCATCAGACGAGAAACCGTCCGAGTCCGAGGAGCTACCCGATATAAGGTCAGAGTACTCCACGTATCTAGAGCACGTCCTCTCAATAATCGTGCGGACCGCCTTGTTAAACTCGTCCAACTCACCATAAGCCGTGTGGATAATTTCGAGCATGCGGTCTCTGTCGCTGTCGTTGGCGCATGTGCACATGCCAGCATCAAACGACTCGATCATAGCAGAGATCATACCTCTTTGGGCGCACACGCTTGCCAACCCTAACTGCGACACACGGCGTGTTGAGAATACTACATCAGGAGTCCAAGCTCTAAGTCTACTTCCAACGCCCCAATAGCTCCCCCATCTCCTCACAATCCTCGCACTCCCCATCACACCGAAACTACTCCAACTTTCTCCTACCTTAGTTCGACGAGGTCTGCTTTGGAATTGGCCTGGTGTTTCGGCTCCCGGTCCCCCGCCTCTGTCTTCAAGTTTTCTGCCAGCTCTGAGTAGCAGGTGTAACTCGATATCCTTGGGATCACCACCCATGTGGACAAAGATGAACAGCTCCATTATGCACCATAACCTCGGGCGGAGAGGTCTAAACACTACGCACGCCACTCCTATGCTCGTCCCCCTCCCACCCCCATTCTGGCCCGTCGCCGTGACGAGCGTGACGCGTCGAATAGGCGCCATACCTGCGCAAACGGTGGAGATCGATGCGCCTCCTCCTCCTCCTCCTCATCCACGTTCTTCTCTTAATCATCGCCTCTGTCCTCGTCGTCCTGTCTTTGTGCATGGGGGGAAAAGACATGTGAGGACGAGTCGGGGGGCGGAGGTGGGGTGGGGGGTGGGGGGAATGGCGCGGCGCACGGGTTCCCCGCGCCAGGCGACCGGCTCAGGTAAGTCACCCCGCAAAGAACAACTAACTTCTGGCAACCACTCAGGAAGACTGGAAGGCACCGCAGGTCCGCGTCGATGTTGCCCTGGTCGATGCAGCACTTGTCGAACCAAACCTTAGGCTCGCGACCGTTCTGAGCTACAAATCCGTTGCGCCACTCCTAAAAAAACAAACAATGACATAAGAATGAAAACTCGGAGGTCCGTGCGGATTTCACGGATCAGCGCTGGACCCCGCCCCATGGCGCGCGGAACGCGCCAGGGGCGGCGCCGGAGGCGCCGCGGGGGGGGGCCCCAGCGCCGATCCGAGGAATCTGCGCGAACCTCAGAGTTTTTATGTTTATGTCATCGCTTGTTCCCCAAATTCCTGCAGGGTGTCCCATTTCGTCACTGCGCTGTCATGCCAGCTGTGGGAGATGAAGGCGTCGCACAATCCGAGCTTCGAGGGCATCGCCAGGCGGGCCTGCAACACACTTGGAGCATTCGTCTCCGAGTCTGCGTAGGTGAGCTGCCCGAGAGAGATGCAGCAAAACCGTGCAGAAGCTTCTCGCCGAATGGCCTGCGAAGCCGCCTCTTTTCTGTGGCGCTTCTCAATGGCACCAAAATCTCGGCTCTGGATGCCATGGCCTCTAATGTTGAGCTCAACTTCTCGATTGTTTTCCTAAGGCATCCTATGCATTTCCTCAGAAATCAAACAAATGAAAGGATTCCGACTTTCAATGAATCAACTGGGTTTCCTGCATTTCTGGGGAACCTAATCCTGGGCTTCCTCCTCCTCCCCCTCTTCCCCCGATGGATTTCCGGGCGAATTCTATGGGTTTAAACCGGTTTCGCAGCGGGCCCGACGGATTTCCGAAGGAATCCTATGAATGTCCCAAGAGTTCCAATGGGCCCCCGAAGGAATCGAATGGATCCCCTCCGGAATCCGATGGGTCTTCTAAGGATTCCGGTGGATGTAAACAATCCTTTGCATGTCCCAAGGAAACCAGTGCGTTTCCTCCGGCATCCTGTAGATTTCCACACACATTCACTTGATTTCCTGACAGCAATCCCAGACATGTCCAGAGGGATCCGATGGGTTTCCTGATGAGTCCTTTGGGTTTCCCAAAGAATCCCATGGATGTCCAAAAAAATCCTAGAGATGTCCCACGGAATCCCAAAGCCCCCCCATGGATGTTCTGCGGCAAATCGATGATGGCCTAAGGCGCCCGGTGTGTGTCCAAAGGATTTCTGTGGCATGCCTTAGGAATGCCATGCATGTCCTTTGGGATCTGGTGGATCGCCTAAGAAACCCAATGGTATGCCAAAGGATTCAGACATATCTCCTTTTAGCAATCCTATGGGTTTCTGATGGGAGATACATGGATGTCCGAAGATGTCCTGCGCATGTCCTAAAGTATCCTGTCGATTTCCTTTGGAATCCACTGCGCGTCCTTAAGATTCCCATGGATGCCCTTTGATGTTCGTAAGACGTCCGAAGGATTGCCTGAGGAGTCCTAAAGGTATTCGTAGGAATCCGAAGGACTTCCTCTGAAACCGCTTGGGCTTCCCGAAAACATCCCACGGATGTCCTAACAAACCCAAAGGAATTCCAAAGAACTCCTGTGGACTCCCAAAGGAATCCCAGAGATTTCCTGAGGAACCCGAAAGATGCATAAAGAATCCTATGCCTGTCCGAAGAACTTCGATGGGCGCCCTGAGGGGCCCGATGGATTCCTGATGGAATCTGCGAAGCCGACCGCGAGTGGAGCATGAGCTTGAACTCTCTGCCCGCCGCAGAGAACGAGGGCGCTCGCGATTCCCCAGGGCGGCGCGCCTGTTTGATCAACAGTGGCTATGGCACAAGCGCGGATGCACTCTAGCAAACACCTCACAGGAACGCGAGTGTCACATGCATGTCTCACGTACCCACGTTCGCAGTGGCCTTCCATGACTGCACTGGGCTCTTCGTCTCTCTGCTCCTCGTCCAGTCCGAGCCCGCGCCCCGCCGGCCGTCCACCTCCGGCGCCTGGTTATCCTCGGGCTTCGGCGCCTCCAGGATTCAATCTCGCACGATCGGGTAAGACGCCAGCGACCAGGCCACGCTCTCCATGATAGCGCCCATCGCCTCCGCGCAGCCGTCGTCCGTCGGCGCGCCGAGCCTGCCTCCCGCGTCCTCCTGCAGCTGCTTCTTGACTGGCATATCGGTCTTGGCGCGGAAGAACTCCACTGCTGGGCGCATCGACGAGTCGACTAGTGCATCCTGCCACTCTACGTGCGTCTTCTCCAGCCTCACCAGCGCTTCGCGCACCTCGTCCTCCAGCGCTGCGGTCGGCATCACCTGCGCGTCCCAGTGTTGGAGACATACTGCAGCGCCACTCGCACGTTGCCCATCTTGGCGGGCGCCCCTGCCAGCAACGCCTTTGCCTTTCGCTCTCACCCTGACCCTGGTCTGGGTCATCTCCGTCGTGGACCCTCTGGGTGCGCGTCTGCCATCCCGGGCATGAAGGCCCTGGCATGGTCGCCACGCCCTCGCACCTCGAGCTCGGTCGCCCCGCCCTCACGCCTCGATCCTGGATTGGGATCTCCCGCACGGCTTGCGGCACGGACTGCCTTCTCTGCTTGAGCCTTAGCCAACGTTGCGGACTCATCAGCTGGCTGGTACGCCGACTCTCTCAGACACGCTCGCAATACATCTGTCGCCGCTGCACGATCCTTTGTTAGGGCATCTCTTAGCATGTTCTCCGTCCTGCCCCGCCTGAGCGCCCCTCCGAGTCTCCTGGGGCACCCCTTGGCTATGGCGATATCTATAGAGGCCTCCTTGTCGACGAGCCCTGTCGGGGCCCCCGGCTCAGTCGCGCGGTCGAACGCGGACTTGCAATCCATCGCGCCAATGGCAAAGAAATCCTTAGAATCTGCGCCCCGGTTCTCCAGACAAAACACGGGGTACAGGGTAGCCGCGAAAGCGCGCATGACCCACTCGTGGCGACCCAACGAGGCCTTCAGAAGCTTGATATCCCCCGCCAGTGTGAATGCACATCCTGTGACTTCCGCGCGACAGGGCACCGGGGAGCCCAAATACCCTTTGCCATCGATGGGGTCCGTCGCACCGCCCAGCGCTCTACCAGCCCCGTCCAGATCTTTCGACGAGTTGTCCGGATGGCACACAAAACGAAGACTATCTGGGGGAGAACTTGAGAACGTGATCGAGATCTCCTGAGACTGCTTCGCCCCCCGAACCCAAGCATTCGATCTTCTGATCTGGCCGATCGCGGGGTTGGGCATTATCTGTTGCGAGATCGAGATCTGGCGACTCAAATCAACCCGAGTCTGTCCCGCGAGCCAGTTTCCTTGCTGGGTCGTTGAGATATGGTTGTGCACCTCGAACGGCTGGGCCACGTCATCGGGTCGGGCTGATCTCCTAGTCTTGGCTGGACTGATTCCTTACGTGCGCTCCGACTGCGATGGGTCGATCGAATAATCAGCTCGCTGAGTGAGGACCGATCCCGAGAAACCCCCACTGCCTGACTTCCGAAAAGGAAATCTCTCTCGCAGCTTTTTCATCACACTGACGCACAGCACCCCCCGGCCACCATTGACCTGATCATCAGCGCGCACTCCGACAATTCCGCACAGGGCGCCCGGCTCGCCGCGGAGCTGGGCACTCGCAGGCCCCGCGGCGCACGCGATGACCGACGCCCAGTCTCTGGCCACGAGGCGGGCGCCCTCCTTCTCAACGGGCTCCCTCAGCAAGAGCGCGCGCGGGTCCATCGGGCGCTGGTCGAAGTGCAGCTCCTCCACCATGAACCGCTCGAACGTACGCTACCCCTGGTGGAACTGATCTCCCAGCCCATTGATCTCCCAGCCCATGCCCGTTGATCGCCTCAAACACCTGCTCTGGGCGATGGTCCTTCAGCGCGTAATCCTTCGGCATCGCCGCGTTGATCGGACCGTCGGGGCGCTCGTCCGGTTTCGCCGCAAGGAGAGCTGACCTCGCGCCCCCAACGTCTGCAGCTGCATCGCACACCCGCGGGTGAACATGGTAGGATTCGCTGTGCGCCTTCGCGCATCAGATCCAGGATGTCCGGGTCCTTGAAGCCCTGCAACGTGCAACGGCGCTTGACCTCGTCCTCGCCGTTGTCGCCGGCTCGCAGCGTCAGCGTCGGCCTCGTGCGCAAAATGCGCTCTGGCACCTGGGTCTTCAGCAGCCTTGGCAACTCCAGAAGCACCGGCCGCCAGGCCTTGGTCTCGTGCACTAGGCTCCCCATCTCATTCTCGCATGCCTTCTCGATAATCATCTTGCCCGCCACCGACTTCCACCTCTCGTCCTTGAAGTTGATCTCCTTGCCCCCCTGCGCGAATAGAACGTCCGCCTCCCCAGCGACGATGTCATTCATTGTCCGTGTCCTCTGCCAGGCGGGCGTCCGCGGAATCGATGGGCGGCGGGCTCGGCCAGCTCGGAGGCTGCATGATGCCGCCAATCTGCTGCCTGTTCGTCTCGCTGAGGTCTCCGCCCGGCTTGTCGACCCTCGTCTGCTCCTCCAGCCTCGGCCACTTGATATCTCCTGAACTCTCGGCGTCCTCTGCCATCTGGCCGTCCTCAGGCTCGCGCGCGTCGTTCAATGTCCGCTTGTCCACGGTCTGCTCCCCGAGCAGCCGTCTCAGCCCCGTTGGATGATCCGTCTCCTCTCCGTCTCCGGCGCCTTGCTCACCCTCCCCTCTCTCGCCGGGGGGCGACTCTGGAGCATCGGGACAGGGAGGGGCCTTCCCTGCCACCTCAGTCTCTGGCGGCCGTTCACCGCCTGTGATGTCCTCGAACACCTGGCCACTGTAGTGCTCCAGGTCCACCATATTGGTCCGCAGCTCCGCCTCCACCGAGCGCCGGGTGCGGCGCTCCTCTCTTGCCGCCGGTCTCATCTGCTCTGGAGACGCCCCCGGCAGCGCCGCCCAGTAGTTGCCGCGCACCTCGCCCATGCAAATACCTGGCCGCCAACGGTGATTTGCCCGCTTGCCTGGGACACCCTTGTTCCGCATCATGCGCCGCGCCGCCGCCGTGTCACCTGGCTGGTACTTGACCGCGACCCTCGGGCGCGAGTCCACTGCCCGCCTCGTCGCCAGCTTGTCCTGCTGCGTGAGCACCTGCATTCGAGCGATGGCCCTGGTCTGCGCCTGCTGGGCTGCCGCCGGCCCGTTCACGATCGCACGGTTGGCAACGTTGTCTGGGTCGTCCTGCGGCAGGCCCCCTGGCGCGTCTGGGTCGCGGAAGAACGCCGCCTGCATCGGGGGCGCCCCTGTCGCCGAGAGGAGGCTGCTCTTGACCAAGACCAGCTCCGTCACGCACTCGCGCCACTCCATCTCGGTCTGGGGCTGGGCCTCGCGGATGACGCCCTCCAGCATTATCTCGAAATGACGATTGTGATGCTCGATCTTGCCATTATGCTCCTTCGCGCCTCCTGCCGGATTCACCGCCTCAATCCCTTGGCGTTCGCACCAGTTGGTAAATTCGTCGCTTACCCGTGCTCGATGCGGGTCCACCATTAGCCACTTCGGTCTCATGTGGGGTCGGGCCTACGCTTGTCT